ATCTAAAGTTCATGAGGAAATTATACTTGACTTCCTAGAACATGTAAAAGAAATATAATCTCAAATTTTTACTAGGTTTCAACTGTTCATAAGTAAGTAATAACTAAATTGAAATAATCTGAGCTGCTTAGCTGTGACAGTGAACAGAAGCATGGTGTCGAGATGGCGTCATCTGGAACTTGCTGGAACACGTGACCCGCTAGCGTAGAGTGGGAAATTGTTGCACTCACGGCTGCTCCAACACATGCTGGACACCCAATGGGGTGTAAAAATTGTCTACACAAGTTATATCAATTATATAATTACGATTCAATGGAAGAGACAAATTAAATTCCTTGTTGACGTACTTGTCGTTAGGGGAGGTATCACGACGTAACGATGGACTAAGTGAAAAGTTATTATACAGTGAGCTCCGATAAAAAACTAGACCACTTAACATGCTGGTTGTCCACCGATGCAATCCTTGGATCGCTAATGGAGTAATTGCACACTCCAGGGATGATCGTGTAGTTGATGAAAGATTCGCCTCTCCCTAGATTTATGGCCGCCACGTTGTCTCAGGCCAGCCCGTCCTCCAAACAAAGATCCAAAAGTGATTCCATGCACCCGCCAAACTCCCTGTTTATGAATGAAAAGCGGTTTACACACGACTCACAACTGCTGACGTTCGAACATATCCGGAACAAGTGCTTCACTGACGAATTTTGTTCGAATCACAACGCTATAAATGCTTCACCTACGTACTACAAATACAAATAATCGTCAACAGAACCTAAACACCTAACCTAACCTATCCTATGCCTATATATACACAATATGCTAATATATTATAATATTAATTTATACTTGAGAAAATTCCCGTTTTGAATAAACAGCATGTTAAAATTTATGAATGCGTCTGTGGGGTTGACCGCTGAATGTAATGGACTTGAGTCGAGGACGTTTTGCTCAGGCCTTGTCCACCCCATGGAGGTCTCGCGTCCGACTCTCTCCCTCAACCTGTCTCTCGCGCATGCGCAACATATTTTAGTAGAAACGGAAAATTCTTTTCCTTGAAATTACTCTACTTAATACGTTAATGAGAATAGGGTCGCAATTATAGGGAGTTAAATATTGTTTATACTCTCACTAAATAATCTATATAAATAAAAATGGAAATGTTCGTTTGTTCAAAAACGCTAATCTCCGAGAGTTCTTCACCGATTGCTTTCAAATTTTCACACAATGTTCCATTCGCTTCCGAGCGGGTTTTTATATACATACTATTTCGATATCACGACTGTGACGGGAAAAAACATGTTTTTTTAAACTGTTTTTCATGTGAGGGAAATCTTCGAAACCTCTTTACTGATTGCTTTGAAATTTTGACACAACGTTGCATTGGAATAGGCGAGCGTTTTTATAGACCTACTATATACATGCCTCACCTGTGACAGGAAAAAACATGCTTTTTTTGAAAAATAGCACCATCTTTTGGACGTAGGAGCAACAAATGCTTTAATTTTCGAAAGTTCTTCACCGATTGCTTTGAAATTTTGACACAACGTTCGATGCGAATACGTGCGTGTTTTTATATACCTACTATTTAGATGCCACACCAGTGACAGGTAAAAACCTGCCTTTTTTTAAAAACAGCGCCATCTGTTGCACATAAGACCAACACAAGCAATTCAAATTATGTTACGATTCTATTTCAATGTTTCAGATTGCATTGATAACTTGAATTTTCATAAATTTTGATTTATTTTCATTTTGATTGAATTATTTTGTGTGACATTGCGATGGAATAGAGCTGTGTTGTTTACCATACCGTTCATTTCGTGGGTAAAGTTTATTTGTTTTTTTTTCATTGTTTTTCTTTTTGTTTTTAACTGTTCCTATTATTTTTCAGTGCAATTGGTGACGAAATTGAACTGTGTCGATTGATCTGTGTTTGAATTATTGAAATATTTCGTTAGTATTTTTGGTTTTGGTTTTGAAGACATGAAAATGGACTACACGTTTATTTCACAGCTGCAAATGAGCAACAAACAGCTATGAATCCACAGTCTACAACGTTAACTGCTTTCTTTACATCATGTCAAAATGACATGTTTGCAAAAACAATGCTGTATTCGGAAGTACCTACGTATTACACATGGAATGCCAGTAGAAAATCATTTGAGGGAGTGTGGTGGCAACCGCCAGCCGGGTCGGACGTTCCCTTGGTCTCCCTGCTGGTGTTTACATTGGGTGATTGTTGGTTGCCCTGACGGGTGGTTGTTTGCCACTGCAGGGTGACTGTTTTTCAGTCAAGTATGGGGACTTACGTGCCGCCACTAAAGAGGAAGGACTTGGCTGGGCTGACTTTTACATGTCGGGTGGATATTGGTGTCGTCAGCAACACTCTGTTTGCAGTTATGGGTGTGAAAGTGAGAGATCTCGTCGGTCTACAGGTTGTTCGTGACGACAGAGTAGTTGTGAAGTTCGCCGAGAGTGGCTTGTTCCTGAGGTTTCTCGACCAGTATGAGGACAAGGTGGTGGGGCTGAGCAACGGTCTGGGCTCTGTGACTGTGACGAATTTGAGTGTGGAGTACACATAGGTGTCTATTAAGAATGCGACGTTTGAAATGTCTGAGGATCTTCTCCGTCGGGTTCTTGCCAGATATGGGCGTGTGGATTCTATTCGTACCTGTAGATACACAACCGGGAACGTCAAGGGACTCGGTAATGGTTACTGAACAGCTAAGATGGTTCTTCATGGGAATGTGCCTTTTTCTCTCGCGCTTGCTGGCTTTACGGTCTGCTTCTCCTACCGTGGGCAGACTCGGACGTGTTTTAAATGTGGCCACGTTGGACATTTGGCTGCTGCCTGCGACACTCGGATGTATGATTAGGTAAGTGTGTTTCATGAAGCGGATTTTCCTCCCTTGCCTGAGCATGAGGATGTCTCGGTTGTGGATGATACCCCTTGTAAGAGGACGGCCGCGGTGATGGGTGCCGCTCAAGTTAGTGCGGTTGGTGGTGTGGGTGTCGGGGTGAAGGGGGGAGTGCGGACCCCTCCCCGCCGTCGGCTTCGTTTCCTCAGCCGGTCCAGTCTCCAGCTCGTGTGTCGCCTGAAGGGTGTGGGCCTGTACCCCCTGAGGATGAGGTCAATGTTTTTCTGGATCGTGTGTTGCCCGGTTACTTGCGGCCGGCCGTGGACTCTACTGGGATGCCTCCTGCTGAGGGCGACAGTTCAGATGATCAGAGGCCTCTGTCCAAGCGTTCCCGGAGGGCTAGGAGTGTGTCGCCCCCTCGTGGGTGGGCTGCGGAGTGTTAAGTTGGGGGAGGATGATGTGATGAATCGTAACATAATTTGAACTGCTTGTGTTGGTCTTATGTGCAACAGATAGCACTGTTTTTAAAAAAGGCAGGTTTTTACCTGTTACTGGTGTGGCATCTAAATAGTAGGTATATAAAAACACGCACGTATTCGCATGGAACGTTATGTCAAAATTTCAAAGCAATCAGTGAAGAACTTTCGAAAATTAAAGCATATGTTGCTCCTACGTCCAACAGATGGTGCTGTTTAAAAAAAAAAAAAACATGTTTTTTCCTGTCACAGGTGAAGCATGTATATAGTAGGTGTATAAAAACGCTCGCCTATTCCAATGCAACGTTGTGTCAAAATTTCAAAGCAATCAGTAAAGAGGTTTTGAAGAGTTCCCCTCACATGAAAAACTCATGAAAAACAGTTGAAAAAAAAAAAACATGTTTTTCCCGTCACAAACGTGATATCGAATTAGTATGTATATAAAACCCGCTCGGAAGCGAATGGAACATTGTGTGAAAATTTCAAAGCAATCGGTAAAGAACTTTCGGAGATTAGCGGTTTTGAACAAACGAACATTTCCATTTTTATTTATATAGACTAGCAGTACCCGGCCACGGGTTGCTGTGGCTCAGCAGCACATGCGGGTTTCTGAGTCACAGCAACCTTCCCTGTTCCCCAGTCCTGCTCACCATTCTGTCCTCAACCGTCTCCTCGACCTCCCATCCATTCCCCACTCCACCGTTCCCTCGTCCTCCCCAGACAGACGGAGAGACAGACAGACAGAGAGAGAGAGAGAGCGAGAGGGACAGAGAGAGGGGGAAGAGGGAGAATGGGTTGTGTGGGTGCGGGTGGGGGTGTGGGGATGTGGGAGTTACACTGTAGTGTACTGGTTTGAGCGTAGGGGGAAGGGGAGGAGAGTTTTGGGAGAGTGATTAGGGGTGGGATTGTGGGGAAGGGGAGGTAAGAGGAGTAGGTGTTGGTCACTGTAGCTGGCCCCTCTCACATAGGTGTTACCATAGATTCCTTACCTCTATAAGCCACGTGAGATTTTTAAAAATATATATGATATAGGGATTTTTTTAAATCACTCCATACATCAGATAATGACAGAGAGAGAGAGAGAGAGAGAGAGAGAGAGAGAGAGAGAGAGAGAGAGAGAGAGAGAGAGAGAGAGAGAGAGGGGTACCCACCAGCCACCCTTCCTACTCACCACAACCAAGGTGAGTATAGTCCTTCCTTATGACGAGGATGCTCCAATGTCCCGCCCTGATTCCGCCGTCGCTTGCCACGTATTATAGTTGTTGCAATCACCTTTATCAGTTACTGTGGAACACTTTTTCTCTCACTTGTTTTCACACTTTCTCAAAAAGTGATCTCACACTTTGCAAGTTCACTCCCTATGGTGCTCTAATAACACTTCACAATCACTATTCTCTCTTATGCTATTCCAGACACTCTGATACACATCCGGTCCTGCCCCCCTGCTCGCTGAGAGCACGTATGTGTGTGTGTGCGTGTTTGTGCTTGCATGTGCGTGTGTGTGCTTGCATGTGTGTGTGTTTGCATATGCATGTGTATGTGCTTGCATGTACATTTGTGTGTGTGTGTTTGTGCTTGCATGTGCGTGTGTGTGTGTGCGTGCTTGCATGTGTGTGTGTTTGCATATGCATGTGTATGTGCTTGCATGTACATTTGTGTGTGTGTGTGTGTGTGTGTGTGCGCATTTGCATGTGCATGTGTGTATGCCAATAGATTGTCTTAAATTTCCATTATTCATATGTAAGTAATGCTACCAATATGTTGCAGCAGCGACATATGTGAGGTGATGCAGAACGTGACCATGTGCCCGCTGTGTGACCTCCACTGCCAGCACTGGAAGCTGGCGAAGGCGTGCCAGCCCGCCAGACTCACTTACCTCGTAGACAACCCGGCCACCATCTTCTTCACCGCCTTTATGGCCCTGTGGGGTGAGTTGCCTCACGTCCTCCTCCTCTCTTGTACAGCAGGGGTCTACCACCTCTTCTTGTCCACCTCCTCACTTGTACATCAGGGGTCTACCACCTCTTCTTGTCCACCTCCTCTCTTGTACATCAGGGGTCTACCACCTCATCTGGTCCACTTCCTCTCTTGTACAGCAGGGGTCTACCACCTCTTCTTGTCCACCTCCTCTCTTGTACATCAGGGGTCTACCACCTCTTCTTGTCCACCACCTCTCTTGTACATCAGGGGTCTACCACCTCTTCTTGTCCACCTCCTGTCTTGTACAACAGGGGTCTACCACCTCTTCCGGTCCACCTCCTCTCTTCTACAACAGGGGTCTACCACCTCATCTGGTCCACTTCCTCTCTTGCACAGCAGGGGTCTACCACCTCTTCTGGTCCTCCTCTTGTCTTGTACAGCAGGGGTCTACCATCTCTTCTGGTTCTCCTTCTCTCTTGTACAGCAGGGGTCTACCACCTCTTCTGGTCCATCTCCTTTCTTGTACAGCAGGGGTCTACCACCTCTTCTGGTCCTCCTCTCTTATACAGCAGGGGTCTACCACCTCTTCAAGTCCTCCTCCTCCTCTCTTATACAGCAGGGGTCTACCACATTTTCTGGTCCACCTCCTCTCATGTACAGCAGGGGTTTACCACCTCTTCTGATCTACCTCTTCTCTTGTACAGCAGGGGTCTACCACCTCTTCTAGTCCACCTCCCCTCTTGTACAGCAGGGGTCTACCACCTCCCTCTCTGGTCCTCTTTCTCTCTTGTACAGCAGGGGTCTACCATCTTTTCTGGTCCACATACCGTGTCAGTATTATAAATTATGACATAATGGATTCGTTTTACTGTTCTCCGCGGATCTGTTATGGCATAGGAAAAAATAACGTAAATGTTTCCGAGGAACTCAACGGCTCCAATTTAGTACGGAAAATGTTCATGTGGAATGTTCCTGCAACCTATTCCTGCAAGTCTCTATTTGACATTGTAAATTTTACCATAGGGAATAAACAGCCGCGATTTGGCCCCTGATATTTTCTCCTAAGGTGATTAAAGAGCTACCTCCCCATCATCTCTACATTCGCTGGCCTGGAATAATGCACTCAGGAACAGCTATTCCTAATGTTTGATGACGTCATCAGCCAACAAAGATTTTCATCTTCTTCAATAAGACCGTTTTCAGTGATTGCATATTTTATCGCACTTCATATTTATCCCCAGTTTCAATATTTTTCCCCAAGAAAATCTAAGGGCTCCCTTCTGTCATCCCAAAATTTTATTACCTAGGTACCTCGCATGGATAGTCATCCTTAATGTACAATGAAGTCACAACTAGCTGGTCTTCATCCTCCCTAAGTAATATTCTTTCCAAGCATTGTCTATGGACACTATTGTGTGTGTGTGTGGGTGGGTGTATAGTCATATTAAATAATGTGCCTGTTCACTAGTTCGGAGCTGGAAAGGAGTTGACTTGAGGGGCTTGGGTCCTGTTTGACCTCGCTTGGGTGTTGGTACCCTCGGAGCGAGGCCTGTTGTTACAGGGGGAAGGGTTTTCCTGACTCAGGAGCGTTATTTAGAAGCCGAATTCTGGCTCACTGCACATATTTGGAGTTTGAAATTACGACTTTTTATAGTGAAATACAAACCTTCCTTAGTCAAAGACTACGATGTAATTCAGACAGTCCCCAGTCAAAGACAATAGGGTAAAACAGACCTTCCTTAGTTAAAGACCTGGGTTTAATGCAGATTTAAGTCCGTTTTCTGCGTTAGCATATTTAATCACATTTTCAATGATTTAATATTAAATACCATTTTCTAAGATTATTTATAGTTAAAGTATCTCATATTCAACATATGAATGAAATTCCAGAAGGCCTTTTTGGAGGGGCCATACAGGAGCCCCTATTCATTTCCACGCATGTTGGGCCCTTACGGCAAAGTGGACAGCGCTCAGGATTTGTAGTCCTAAAGTTCCGGGGTTCAATCCCCACCGGTGGCGGAAACAAATGGACAGAGTTTCTTTGACCCTGAGGTGCCTGTTCACCTAGCAATAAATAGGTACCTGGGAGTTAGACAGCTGTTACGAGTTGTTTCCTGGGGTTGTGTAACAAAAAAGAGGTCTGATCGAGGACCGGGCCACGGGGACGCTATGCCCCAAAAATCATTTCAAGATAACTTCAAAAAAGTTGAGGCAATCAACAAATGCTATAAAAAGAAATAAATAACAGAATGTGCTATTTCCTTGTTTTGTATATATAGGCAATGTTCACACTGTTATATACGAATGTCTGATAAATACTCAAAATAGAAACTCCTTTTCATACCCATTTTATCAACTTATACCCTTCAATCATATCACCAGTATAGAGGTGATATATAGAAGACCCTATTTATGTCCCATTTAAACCAATTCATTCTCTCTTCGTCGAATTATAGAACAGCTTATTTGTTCAAATACTTATAGTAGACTGATTTAATTACAAGAAAAAGATTGATAGTGCCCTCGGCTAAAAAAATTATTTATTTATATCTAATAATTAGAGTGCATACCCTAAGATCGTTTATTGAGCATAGGAATGAATGAAACAGACTACCACCCATTCATATAAAAAAAAAATGAACACAGCAACTGAATTGACAAGTATCTCACTCGTTTACCCCCCTCCCCGCTCAGCTCGTTGATGCCGTGAGGGGGGCTTATTGGGTGGCTGCCGGAGTGTGATGCTCCTTGGGACAGTCCTATGTCCTTTCGTTGCCTTGTGCTCCTGCCGCTGTCCTCTCCAACTGTGCTGAGCTACTTTTCCTTTTCCTTCTGTTTCGTTTTTCTCCCCTCTCTTCTCCTATCTGCTTGCCGTTTCTTGCCGACCTTTTGCTTGTTTTGGTTATTCCTTTGGACTTCTTCTATTTTGACGCCCGGGTGCTTGAGGAGACATACTCTTGCACCCGTAGAACTGTAGTACCCAACATCGAGAGCGAGGGGAACCTTTTATTGTCAATCCCCCTTTCGTCACTTAACCCGATCTCGACGGATTGTCGTTTCTTAAGGTGGTGTTTGTGGGGCGTATACTCCCGACGCACCCCTAGGAGGCCCCGGCATGATCGGCGATAGCTTCTTGTTGGGTGTCCTGACCCTAATTGTGGCTCCACGGTGGGTGTGGGGGCACATTCGAGAACGAATGTTTTTCTCATAGCGATGATGTATACTGTTTCTCCTTTACCTTCTCAGGCTCGTGCGGTGGGCGACCAAGCCCGAGTCGGTCTGTGTTGGAAGACCGGGCTCTGTAGCCTCCGCTGCATTGGGCCCCAGCCTTGCTCCTCCTTTGGCCTCTCTGATTCCTCCCCTCGGCTCCCCTCCCTTCTCTGTGGGTGGGTCGAGCCCCAAGCCCCCAGTGGTGACTACCTCGTCCCCTGACATGGCTCCATATCTCGTTGTAACTACTTAGCCTTTTAACCCCTCTCTCTCTGGGGGTTCTCAACGCCGTCCTCGTCACGGCCGCCCTTGCTCGATTCCTTCCCGTTCTGATACCTATCAAGCCTTGTTTGGTCCCGCTTCGTGGACCAAATATTTTGATCTCCTCCCTCTTGATTCTGCGCCTCCTGACTATTTCTCCCTCCATCGACATCTCGTTGATTCCCTGGATGCCTCTGTTACCTTCAACCCCACTCGTCTCGGTACATGTGTCGTTGCTGCTCCTTCTCAGGATGAAGCTTCCCGCTTGTCTGCCTTATCTTGCCTTGGCGAGACCCCTGTTCGGGTCTCCAAGAACGCTCAGTTGAACGACAGTGTTAGCACTATTCTCCTCCTGCTCCATGTTGCGACCGGTGTTCGGGATCTGCGAGACTGCCACGACGATATTCGACATATCCTTGATGCCCAGGGTCATTCTATTCTCTAGGTGGACACGTTTACTCGTCCCCCTCGTGGTAGTCGCCGTCAACCCCTTCGGGTTTTGAAGATTATCTTTGATGGTCGGACACTTCCACCCTCTGTCATTCTTGCTGGTGCCAGGTGCTCTGTCCAGGAGTACATTCCTTCTCCTAGGCTCTGTAACAAGTGCTGGAGGTTTGGGCATGGTGCCCTCTACTGGTCTGGGACTGTCTCTCTCTCTCTGTCCTTTGTGTGGTGGCGAAGGTCACTCTTCTCCCCGGGCTCGTTGCCTCAACTGCGGTGAGGCCCATCCTACCTTCTCCCGTGCGTGTGTCCATTACAAGCTTGAGGCAGCCGTCCTCAACTTGAAGCACCGGGAGCGTTTATCTTTTCCTGAGGCGAGGCGCCAGGTTCGCCGGCTCCCGCCTTATGCTAATATTTCTTATGCTCGCGTGTTGCACTCTTCCTCTGCTCGTCCTTCCCACCTTCCTCAGACTCACAACCGTTTCCGGGCCTTGGACCCTGATGCACCCACTGCCCCCTCCTCTGTTCCTTTGAGTTCTGTCCCGAAGGATCCACTTCCTGGTCCTCTGTCTGGGGTTCCCCTTCTTTCTACCCGGTCTGTCTTGTCTCCTGTGTCTTCTTCCTCGTCTCCCTCCGTTCCTCCTTCCCATCCTTCCCCTCCATCTCTTGCCTCTCCCCGCCGCCTGTCGGTGCGGGCTGATGTCCATCGCTCTCCAAACGGCCGTCGTGTGTGCTCTCGTTCAGCTTCTCCTGTTGAGATGCTAGAATCCGTTGCCCAGTACGCAGTTGCTGGGACACTGGTCTCTTTTAGTCAGAAGCGTAAGCCTGGCTCCTCTCCTTCCTCCTCCCCGGCGGGTAAGAAGGTTTCGCTTTCTTCCTCGGCCCCAATTTCTGCCTCTATCACTCCTTCCCCTCCCATTTCAGTGGTTGCGCCCCCTGTTCCTGCTATGGAGGTTTCTTTGGTCCCCGCTTCCCTCTCGGTTGCTGCCCTTGCTGAGGTGCGCTCCCCTCTTTCAACTTCCCCTCTTCCTGCTGCTGTCCTTGACTGCTCCTCTCTGTTGTCTCCTTCTCTTCCTCTGGACCCCGCCCGCCCACC